ACTTTGTCCACGGTAGAACCGAATATCAGATTTCAATCCAGCAGTTAGTTACATTTTAATTTTACTAAGGCAACATGCCATCAAAGCTTTCCCAAAACATTGCTCTTTTAAAAACCGAACGCTTTCAAATAAAAAAGGAAAAATAAAATTTGCTGCGAGCATAGATTGAATTAAAAAAAATCTTCTCATTTTTTAAATGCAAACGTAACGAAGCCATACAGCCATTTATGCCCAAAGGCAACAAGCCGGTGGGATATAATCAGGAAATATTGCCGGCAATCCATCGTATTTCCCCTATCCCTGCGATCGGGGTAAATAGCAACACCGGAGCAACGGTGTTACCAGATTGAAAAATTGCTAAGCATCCGTTTAACGTCGGCCATATTGATTTATTTTGTTTTTTTTTCACTTAACGGATTTGTCGGGATTAATGATTTCATTTTCGCGTATCGGTACTTTGATGTGAATTCAAATTGGTTCATATTTGATGGTCTTTAACAGGTGTGTGTCTTTTCACTGTGAAAATTATGCTTCCGTCTGCCTCACTGATCACAACCTTTTGAGCGCGAATTCCTACATTGATTCTCATTTTAGCCAAAGTATTACCTAAAGATACTAAAAAAACCCTAATTTTAATGTCTACATGTCTGCAGTTTTAAAATTCCTAACATATTTCTGTATAATATGACAGTGACAAAAAAACGATTCAATAAATCAATAGTTTCAATCGCAAATATAATTGCTTGCGTTTATATTCAATGCCATATGACGCATAATTGTGGGAAAGGGCCAGACATGGTGGAATCGAATGCGAATTTATATCAGTACATACGTGATATGTACAATACATGTATAAAGTTAAGGAGGATGAAAACGAAGCTGTCAAATAAAAGAATGAATCAAATTAATTTTTTAATTGTTATGTTTTTAAAATAACTATCGTAAGACATACTAAATTAACTAAAAACGCGAATTACTCACGTGAGGGGTTGGCACGCTGCTCATTAGGAAGAACCCCTCTGTAGTTCGAAACTAGTACCTAGAGCTTTTCTCAGTATATTCACGTGAGTAACCCGCGATTTTAGTTAGTTTTTAATTGTTAATGTAAATATTTCAGACTCTAAAAAAGCAACTGACATACTACAATTGAAATACAAATAAGATTATGGCAATCCCTCCTATAAAGAAGAGACGTACTGCCTAAATGGACTGTGGACTGACACGGGTTATTGAGCCGTGGTCTTTCTCTTTATCAAAGGAGTTTAGTATAATCTCTACCCCATTTTTAGGGGAGAAAATCTTCGTATCGCTTCTCCCGCTTGGGTGAGGCGGGAGTGTCAGACTCTTACTGACTAAAAACCACCCCGTTCCTACTCCTGCCCTTCGAGCCGGTGCCCCGGCAATCCGTTAAGTCCTCTCTACCTCACTAGTGCTGTAGGTAGATGATTATCATCACAGTTTACATACCCAAAGTCAAAGTCAAAATCATTTATTTCAATTAGACCAGGAAAGCACTTTTGAACGTCAACAACAAAAATTTAGCAGTGAAGCTAGTTGCTCATTCTGAAGTGTACATTCCTATGGAAAAGAACGAGCAAGAAACTCCATAGGTTACTCTTTTCAATCGGGTTTACAATATAATTCTCTAGTTGCATAGTTTTGTTGGTTCGATTGTGTGGGAACAATGCAACACCTAAATCCAGTCAAAGAGAAGTTATCAATAGATTAGACAGTTCTTTAAATTTATGATATATTAGGAAATATTTAAAATAATCGACAATGATATCGCTTCCTAATTAAAAGCACGCTCAAGTTTACAACACGTGTTCACATCATGTGCCCTTGTTGTGACAACACAAAAACAATAACAATTAAATTGTTCAATTAAGGTAATGGTTTCCACGATTCCAATTGAAAATAAATATTTTTATTTTGTTTGAAATCCTATATATACTAATCAATGAAATTAAATCAAATATTTACAATTTGTTAAAGTGTTTCTGTTAAAGCTGTTAGCTTTGTCACGTGTTATGTTTAATTATGTTTTTTTTTAATTTAAGATTATGCCGTTATTTCCCAAAGAGATAGATGGAAATTGCATTTACGTATCAGTCGCTTTTTGCCAATCAAACTATGATTTCATGTATTGTATATCATACCGAAATCGTACCTACTTGCTTAAATCTATCTGTCACTCTCGCTTTTATCAAACTTGTAGTACCGTAATGTTTAAATCAGCCGATACGGAGCCGCGGAGAACCTAATGGGTTACCGGGGCTCCGGCTCGACGTGCAGGAGAAGGAACAGGGTGGCTTTTAGGCAGTAAGAGTCTGACACTCCCACCCGCCTCACCCGGGCGAGAGAAATCATTCGATGATTTGCCCCCCTTAAAAAAATGTTTAATCAAAAGTTCTAATTTTTGTAACTGTATATTTTTATAACTGAACAATGTGAAAACTAGATCGATTTTTGTTTGTCAACACTCAAATAACAATTCGGTTAAAATTGATCATCACCACCGTCAAATCTCAAAATAACTGCAATATTTCGTCAAATAACAAATGATTACTTATCGAACAGACTCTAGGAGTCGCCAATTCCCTTCCTATTCAGTATTCATTCCATTATAATAATAATCAATCCACAAAATTACATTTACTTTGTCACAATCACAGTCGAGAATGGCTCCAATCTCAAAACAAACGGTTTACGAGATACTAATGAGAGCGCATTTAATTCCCAGCTTCAAATCGGATTAGTATTTCGACCTCAGGCACTTGGCAGAAATGTTAAAAAGGTTCACTTGCAATACTAGCAAAGTAACTATATGAAGAAATACAAATTAATACCTAATTCCAAGGCCAAAAATAAATTAATCAATGAATTAATTTGTTTATTATTGTTCTTCTCGGAAGCTATAATAAATGCAAAGTTTAATTAAATATATATAGAAAGTGAATTTATACTAGAAAGTACATAAATACAATTAATCATATTTCACAACAGTCATAGACTACGAATGTCTACACGATCGTAGCCGATTCGTAGCCGAATCGTAGCAACGCGGCTACGGCGTAACCATTTCACAATAGTTGCAGAAAAAACTGTGCACAATGTTACACAAAAACGGAAATAAATAACGATGCGGTAGGCTGATAGGGAAATTGGAAAAAGACGTGTTGCATTACAGTTGCCAAATGTTAAATGTTTGTTTGTTGTTGTGAAAATACAAACCCGATTTGAACAAAATCTTTGTGCCGATTTAATCTGCTTTATACTTTACGATACTTAAAAATATGTAATGTTATTAAATACACATTAAGATAGTGATTAAATAATTATGTAGTAATAACCTCTTTTTTATTTGATTGTCGTTAATCTCCACACTTTTTCCAATTCATATGTATGGAAGACCGTTTTAACCCAGTCTATGTCAAATGTTTAGACTCTTGGTTTTTTTTATGGCATAAGCCGGTAAACGAGCAGACGCATCACCTGATGGTAAGCAATCGGCGTCGCCCATGGACACTTGGAACACCAGAGGCGTTACAAGTGCGTTACCAGCCTTTTGGGGATTAGATGCTTGAGGATCGTTGGGGCTTCAGGGATTGGGGAGATTGGGGAAGGGGAGGTTGATTGGGCCTCCGGTTACCTCACTCACACGACGATATACAACGCAAGCGTTGCTTCACGTCAGTTTTCTGTGAGGCCGTGGTATCACTCTGGTCGAGCCGGCCCGTTCGTGCTGAAGCATGGCTCTCCCACACTAGTCGGCTCATACACAGGTTTTGAACCTACTTCAGGCACATGATAATGTAGAATTAAAACATAAATATGTACATTGCCCCACATTAGGATTTTCTCCTGTGTCGTGGGTGCGTTTACAAACATATAAGTGCACATACACAATGACACCCAGACCCGAAACAACAATTTGTGGATCACACAAAGTGTTGTTCTGTGCGGGAATCGAACCCGCTACACGTTGCACGGCAGCCGGTTGCCCTGCCACCGCACCAACCGTGCAGTCATTCTTTTAACAAAAAATAGATTTATTTATTTATTTATTTATACAACACCCATAAGACAAGAAGGGTTTGAAAAATATATTCTACTTTGCTTTTAACGCTCATAATAGGTACTTGTAAACGAACTATCCTTTTGACCTTCTGCTAACTACCTACATAGTAACAAAGACCTATACTTTAAGTAGCCTGAGCCTTTTTAAATGATAAATGACCACGTTTTATCATGGCAGACAGTGTGGCGTTGATCAAAACCCCCTTTAAAGGCCACTGGTGGGGGGGAGAAGGCTATAATTTGATTACTGTGTTAGTTAAATGGAATCGAATAAAATAGCAATGAGGTTATTGGGTGAACTTTTGGCTTTGTTAATAAAGTTTTTGGAATCAGGTTCATTGACCTAGGTTTATGTTTTCAAAGGATTAGATGTCTAGGTGTCTAGTCAGTACTAGAACTACTACTACTGAAAAGTTAGTACTACATAACGTAATAACATCACGCCTTTTATCCCCGAAAGGGTAGGCAGAGGTGTACATTATGCCACTGTACAATGTAACACCCACTTTTCACTATTTATGTTATGAGTCCCATGTAGTAGAGGGTAAGCCTATTGCCATATACCGGGCACAATTCCAGCCTCCGTGCCACTGTGTACTGTGAATTTTTTGAAAAACCCAGTAGTACTTTGCCCGACCCGGGAATCGAACCCGAGACCCCTTGCCTGGCAGTCGCACTTGCGACCAGTGAGTACTTTTCAATTCAAAATAAATTTTTAGTTGACCTGCAGTTGTCCATTGTACCTCACTCAGTCAGATTTTAGAAAACAATTGGTCAATCTTAAGCTGGTTTTAAAAGAATACCTAACAAAAACCGTACGTAACATTTACGAAAGCATTTATTGTCCTATGAAATAATCTTTCAATTAAAAACTTACCACAATTTAAAGTGTACCTTTTCAACCAGGTATATAACACAAAATGGGTTGCGGTTCATCAACCACAGCGGTTCCTGTGACGGAGGAGACCGCGAATGGTGCAGCGAAGACCTCGAACGGTGCTGGAGTGAAGGGGCACCACCATGATGATCATGACGACTTACCCACCGTTGTCCTTCCTGAGACACCAGTTTTACCCAAACCACGTAAGAATATTAAAGCTTTTATTTGTTTTTAAACTTCTATAATAGGTGATTTTAAAATAGTATTTGATAAGTACATTTTTTACTTATTCTAGGATTTTTTTAAAAATTATTCATTAGGATTTTTTTATTTATGTTCCATAATGTAACTTTTAAAACAATTATGGTCATCGTCAATACAATACAATGTATACAATCAGGCATTGGCCTGTTGCACTCAAAAACCAGATTCCACTTCAACACATATGTGCCTTTAGCCAAACGCCACTTTAGCGCTTGTCTATAAAGAGAGTAGAAAACTAAATGTAAGGGGATGACACTGACAAGTGTCAAAATTTACGTCAATTCCATATAATTTAGTTTTCTATTCTACAAGTAGACAAGCACTAAGGGCCTATGCACACCACGTTTTTTAAACGCGCCGTCGACGCGCGTTTGTAGCGATACAGACGCGATACGCACGCAAGTCAGACGCAGCCTGTAGACCTTTGCACACTTGTATAAATACAGACCGCGTGTGTAGCGAAACAGACGCGATGCAAACGCGGATGTGTATCGACACAAACGCGCTGGCATTTTGCGTTTTTAAGCAGAACCTCGTCAACAGTAGCAAGATGGCGTTTTCTGTGTCGAAAGGCTCCATTTTTTTGTTCCAATGACGTGCGGTGCACCAAATCTCTCGATTGCTACTAGCGTATATTCACACTTCTCTTTCGGGGAAAACCCCGTCGGTAGGGAAGGCGCCCGCCCTAGACGTGCCGGTGCCGCGCGTTTGTATCGATACAAACTACAACAAACTGCTCTGCAGGATAAAAACACGCCGGCGCGGCGACGCACGTTGTCAAAACGCGCGTCGCCGGTGCGTTTAAAAAACGTGGTGTGCATAGGCCCTAAATGGCATTTGGGTACAGCTGCTGACTACAGTCTGGCGACTGATTGCAGATACATATATACAAAAAAAAAAATACTACGACTTCAGCGTACAGTTCGTAGGTAGTCATGATAAGCCTAAGTATTTAGTATCTCAAAATTTTCTGTGAAGTTCAACCTAAGTTAGAAACAAGCCTAAAAGAAATCTTGTACACCGAAAATTTTTTTTGAAAGACCAATTTTTTATCTATACCGGTCTCACAATCTCAAGTAACTTACTAACGAGGTCATTGCCCGTTGTAGCTAAGAACCGCGTTATAGGTTTATTGTCTAACTTTGACGATTTTATAACCTCCATAATACTTTATGACCCTACTTTACCTGTCTTAAGACATTCGTTTAGGTAAATGTTTGTTTTCCATCAGCACGCCGCTTCTACGCCTACGTTTAAAAGTATTTAATATTTTGTTGTTATTGATTTCTACATGACCTTGAGTTTGACATAGGTTTTGATATAATCTATCGATTCAAAATCATTGTTATACACACACCCAGTAAAAACTTGTTGTTGAGTGATCGCAAATAACAATCATGAAGCCTTTATCAAGTTCAGTTACTTCATCATTCATTTATCAGCAGCCAATAAGTGTCCACTGCTAAGCAAAGCCTCTTCTCACACGGAGAAGGTTTGAGCATTAATTACCACGATTGCTCAATGAGGGTTGGTGATTTCAAAATTATAATTAGAAATTATAAGCCCAGGTTTCCTCACGATGTTGTCCTTCACCGTTTGTCAGTGATGTCTAAATAATCTTAGAAAGTACATATAACTCGGAGAACTCACATTGGTACTTAGTTCAGTTTTACGAGTCCGAGAATACAATACCTATTTCAAGCGAATGTGGTATGACTTTTAAATAAAAGAAGTATCAATTTATTTCTCAGCGGTGGCCTTCGAGATTCCAGTTGAAGAGTTCGATGGCACGAAGCGTGCGTCCACTCCACCTGCTCACCTGCAGAGGCTGCTCCAACCTGTTCAGCCTGACATCAGCCTGCCCGATATAGAGGAGAAGTTGGCTGAAGCTGAACAGAGAAGACAAAGTGTATGTACTATAGTAACATGTCCCTTTTCTAACTAATTGTCACCTTTACAGTTGTACCAATGCTACCGTGTTATGTACTTTATTAATCAAACCTTTTTTCTTTTCTTTATCAGAAGACATTTCTTGAATATTATGTCTATTATAATCTACTATATAAAAATAAGTCGGGTTTTCCTTCCTGACGCTATAACTCAAGAACGCACGAGCCGATTTCCAAGGTTTCGCATTCGTTGGAAAGGTCTCGGGCTCCGTGAGGTTTATAGCAAAGAAAATTTACTAATTACTAAACGAAATGTTACATAAAACGAAGCCATCTGGTGGCGAAACGGAGTTCGCAGGGTTTGCTTGTGTCATATACAAAAGTAACTAGCTGTTGCGACTTCGTCTTTTTTATGGAATAGGAGACAAACGAGCAGACGGGTCACCTGATGGTAAGCGATCAGCGCCGCCCATGGATGCAACACCAGAGGAGTCACAGATATGTTTGCGTAGAATGTGATTACTGTTTTATGTCATGGGAGCTTTTGTTGGGGATAAAAATCCTATCACCTAAGCCAGGCTATACCCTGCCTGTATACCAAATTTCATCAAAATCCGTTCAGTACATTCAGCGTGATTAAAACTTTCACATTTATAATATTAGTGTGATTATTGTGTGCAGTTACTTAAGAAAAAAACATTTTCTTAATCATAGATCCTGCAAGCGAGAGCTGCGTCTGCGCAGAAGAGAGCACAGAAAATTATGAAGAGTGTCCAAGAGATGGACAGGCTTGACTCGGAACATGTAAGTTGGAAATCCTTACTTAAATGTGAAAACAATCTCCAAGCGGCCACCGGTGATCGTTCTCCACTTACTCCATTATAGACCTTATTTCCGATGGTTAGAGACTATTTTTGTTGTGAATTTTTCATAATCATGAATTAAGAAGTTAGTTTGTCCTTTAAACTGTCAAACACCAAGCGGTCACCGGTGACCGCGACCTATTGTTCTTTAATTGTGTCTATGAAACCGGTACTCGACGAGTTAATTTGTTGTCTTTTAAGTCACAATGAGACAAATCCATAATTACTACTGATGACTTTTTTTCGGTAACTTTATAATTATGCATGTAATCTTTTTCTATTTTCAGGAACATTCAGAGCCCACAAAACATGTGACGAACAGTCTAACAATCCCACCAGAGCCTGGCGTGTGTGAAGATAAAAATATTTGATAGATTAGATGCCTTGAATCAGAAATCAACTCAAGAGATTAGGAAACATGTTTAAAATAATCGGGCATAACATAAAAAATGCAATAATAATCAGTCATGATCATCGTCAAGTGCACTTCCATACAAACACAAACATTATACCTCTTTGACAAGAGTTAATAGAGTTTTCATACATAAGCCAATATATTATCATACATACATCCAAAGTTAAGTGAATTTTTAATTCGCGTTGGCATAAGTTTTGACTAAAGATGCACCGAATATTCGGTTACTATCTGGTATCCCGCTTATCCGGCCGTTATTTACTATCCGGCCAGATACCGGATAGTAATGTACTATACGACCGGATACCGGATAGTAAACTTGGTAGATTTTATAAATGTAGTCTAATAAATCTTTTTATTATTTTAAACAATTTTAACTTTTTATAATAACAAGTCAAAACCTGCACGGGGAGCGGCGTGGCGGTACATGAAACGAGCCTACGACACTCCAAATGTAGGTATCAAACTGCCGGCTGAATATTCGGCTGGTGGTCAGGCCGAATATCCGGTATTCGGTATCCGGCCAAACGACTATTTGTTGCGTCTCTAGTTTTGACATCAAATTAAAAATTTGCCTTTTCTGTTTTCAAATTCGATTACTGTTTGAGGTATCACTATATAATGTGCAATCATGAGACACAAAAACCAATCCATCTTTGTTTGCATTAAAATGTAACTCTGTTCGTAAATCATAGATGTCGCTGTGTTAAATTACACACGCCTGAAACAATTTATATAAAAGCTCTTTCCTTTCACGCATAAGAGAGATAACTGTGCAATTTACACTGCAGCGTAATTTTGCTCTTAGTGGTATTGTTTTCTGGTATAAATTTCTTTGTTTTTTTATTTCACTATAAGAATCATGTATAATGAATTTGATAGATATTGATGTAGATATGTAGTGAAAATGAATGAAAGATATAACTAAGATTGACATTAAACTGTCAAACACCAAGCGGTCACCGGTGACCGCGACCTATTGTTCTTTAATTGTGTCTATAAAACCGGTACTCGACGAGTTAATTTTAAATTGACGGTTTAAACAAAAAGCTGTATTGATGAGTTTGCATTTATTTATTTATTCGAAAAAGTACTGCCACAACACAAACATATAAAATACTATTCTATTACACAAAAGTAACAAAATAATGGTAATAATGATGCATGCGACAATAATGGCGGACATAGCATTGGCAATTCATCGGCTTAACAGTGGCTTCAAAATGGAACACATGTGTTTAATTACAAAAAATGACAATCCATACAATACATACCATAAAAAGAGGACTTTCAATATATACCACTGCCTCGTTGGGCGAGTGGTCGTAAGTGCGACTGCTGGGCAAGGGGTCTCGGGTTCGATTCCCGGGTCGGGCAAAGTATTACTGGGTTTTTAAATATTTTCAGTAGTAGCACGGAGTCTGGAATTGTGCCCAGTATATGGCAATAGGCTCACCCCCTATTACATGGGACTCATAACATAAATAGTGAAAAGTTGGTATTACATTGTACAGTGGTATAATGTGCACCTCTGCCTACCCCTTCGGGGATAAAAGGCGATGATGTTATGTTATGTTATAACGATCATATTGCACCGAAACATACTATTTATAAATTAATTAAGACCATTTCTTAAAATGCTTTTTATTTTCTGAAGCACTTTAATTTACCAATATGAACATACTCCTACGAGAACGAACCACAAAATATATTTCATCTTCTCATAAACGAGATATTCTTACTTCAAATATACTATACGTAAGTAGCAATAATGCTAGAATAGTTAATATAAAATAGTAATAAAGAATATCCATTATCCATAGACGTTTTAGCGATAACTAGGAATATTATGATAGGTATAATATTTTATACGAGCCATTTCATCCCGATGATAGCCTTTAAAAGTGCATAAAGATCTTTGAAAAGTTCAATTTTGCTTCAAAGTGCTACTGGTAAAGGTTGTCGCCCAGTCAACGACTAGCTATCGTGAACTGCAGTGCATACTAAATATCGCTATTTTTTTAAAAACATCGTGGTGAAGAAAAACATCTATCTTTCCTTTAGTTTCGTATAAAAAGTGAAGATTATTTTCTTGTTACAAGTCAAGTCGGGAATTTCTGTTCGAAAAACGTGATGAACAGTTGATTGGTTCAATTTTTTAAATATTTTGCAATGTACTCGTGTATTTTTCGGTCTGCTGAATATCTCAGACGTCTTGCTCGCAATTGTTTCATTTTACACTTCGTACTTCGCATTCAGGACAAGTAATTAGTTCTTTATGAAATAGAACTGATGCAAAATCTACTTTTTTGGATAAAATAACATTATGTCTTATCGTCTATTACCATCAATACAAATGGAGGAGTTCAATACACGGCCGTAACCGCCTTTACATTTCACAGACGCGTACTCATACATACGTACATAAGTATTAATATAGATTAAGTATTTGTCTTACTACAATAAGCTACATTACGTGTATTTGTGCAATATGTAAACATTTACGTGATAATTTGTGATTTTCAAATAAAAACTTTTTTAAATACTTGCTTATTTGATTGACGTGATATTCCCTTCAATAGATAGAGGTCTAAATTAACTAAAAATCTTGGGTCGACTTACGTGAATATACTGAGAAAAGCTCGACAAGTTTCGAGCCACAAAGGGGCTCTTACTCCTTCCTCGCAGTAGACTGCGAAACAGCGCCGCGACCACACACGCTGCTCATGACGAAGAGCTCATCTGCGTGGCTCGATACTAGTCGAGCTTTTCCTAATATATTCACGTGAGTATCCCGCTATTTATAGTTAATTTAGTATGTCTCACAATAGTTATTATAAAAATCATTTAGTCAAACCGGGGATCAAAAGATCATAGACGTTCTTAACAATCATAAAATTAACCGAGAACACATCATAACTCATAATCTTCACGCATATAATAAAATTATGTTAAACGAACCAGTACCGTCTATATTTCGCATAAAAATATTTATATTTAATAATCTCCCCTGACCCCTTTTCCTCAACGTTTCATGCTAAAACCTAGCAATGAATTATAAATTCTACCCTCACGTGGAAACAATTTACCCCAATATACATATCTCCGGACAAAAGCACTTACATACAACTTTATTACGCGCAAGTTTTTACTCCAAATAAGGGTAAAATGGGAGTAAAACTGGAGTAAAATAAGGGTAAAATGACTATACCCCCTCTCACTAGCGTTGGGTTGAACTTTGTGTTCAGTAGTTCAGGTTTATGGTTTTGTGATTATTAGTTAGTTTTAGTTTAACTTAATTTAGGGACCAAAAACGAGTGATGAGATTTTATGTGGAATGGAGAAACTATTTACAGAATATGTGTTTTTAAGGGAGACAGTCATCGAATGGGTTCTCCCGCCTGGGTGAGGCAAGACGGACTGTCAGTCTCTTACTGACTAAAAACCACCCCGTTCCAACTCCTGCACGTCGAGTCGAAATACCTTTTACGTTATACGCGGCTCCGTATCAGCATCAGCCCTATTGGGCATCCATGGTGGTCTGATGGCTCTTTGAGGCGCGCGCGGAACACGTCGTGCCGTACCTACGCTCGGGTACAGGTCATGGTAGATCTTATTTTAAATAACAAATCTATGCAATTACACGTCAAAGTTTTCTACGAAAACAAGCAAATAAATAATGATTAATCACCAAAAAAGCACATTTCTTTTTCCTAGTTTCATCCGAAGTAGATAATATGATATGTCTTCTTTTCCTATTCTCCTCTAACGCAATATCAAAACATCATAAAACGCCAAATGCGTCTCCATAAAAAACTAAACTAAATCCTCTTAAGAAACACAAAACATTAAAACATTAGTCCACATAACTAAAACACAAGAACAAATGCATAACACACTTATTTAAGAAGTAATTACCACACATCCGTAGCTAGCACATGGCACTGAGATAAATCTCTAAGTTCCCACACGACAGGAGACTGCATGAAGTAAATTAGTTAGCTCACCAGCTGCCCCTTCCAGCTGTAACGACTTAATTACTTGACTACGGTCGTGGGTATTGTGGCTACGACTGAGGTCATGTTGGGACCTCTACTACTGTTTGCTATGAGTACACAGTTGCTTTATCTTGAACCTTAAAATGCTCTGTCTGCGGTACGTCTAGTCGGGTTAGATATGTTGTGTGAGTGACTATAAGTGTAAGTGTCTATGGAGATTATACGATGCTACAAGCTATAGGGAACCTTCATCTTGGCTATGTATCGTCTATTAATCCTAAGTACTTTCAACGGTAACCATAAAGTATATGAATAGTTTGTCGAATTGTTGTAAGTCTGTCAGGAGGTCTCAGGTTCGATTCCTGGGTCGGAAAAAGTATAACAGGCCTTTTTTTTAAATCCCAGTAGTAGCACGGAGTCTGGAATTATGCCCGGTATATGGCAATAGACTTACCCCCCTGCTATATGGGACTCAAAACATAAATAGGTAGTGAAAAGTGTGTGTTACATTGGACAGCGTACGCCTTTGGGGATAAAAAGGCATGATGTTATGTCATTACGATTGAATTATTTTCAACAACTATGATTTTTTTTTTAAGGGAGGAAAATCATCGAATGTCTGCTCCCGCCTGGGTGAGGCGGGAGGGAGTGTCAGACTCTTACTAACTAAAAACCACCCCGTTCCTACTCCTGCACTTCGAGCCGGAGGCCCGGTAACTCGTTAGGTTCTCCGCGACAGCAATTACGAAAATATGAGGCATTGAATGTTTAGTGTCCTTGCCCTTGTTAGTTAATTATATGTGATCTATCATATCCTATCCTATATGGATAACTTTATGAACAACAAGACACTTTGAGTCAATTGTGTCTAAAACACCTTTAACCCGTCGAGCGTCCGCGTTCCCTATGCATTTCCTTATCCTTATGCATGCAAGAAAATGCATTTATTTGGCCATTGGCATACGAAAACAAGGATCATTACAATAAAAATAAAACAAATACAGTCAAAATAAAAACAAAACATTAATAATAGATGTTATAAAAGAGATAGCAGCATGGAGCATTTTTTCTTATGATCCACCGGGTGCTCATAAGGACGCTCGAGGGCTTAAACATCAAAAACATTACTAATACATAAGAACTTTGTATCTAATAACAAAACTACTCTCTAATGCGTAATCAATAAGCATGGTAAATAAAATATTAATCTAATACGCCTGGTAACAGTTCCATAGGCTTCAGTACAATTTTTATTCCTTTAAGCATATAAAGACTGTTTGTAAATAATAAAAAACACAAAGCCCAAATGACCATGTAAACTACACACGGAGCTCTGTGATTTCTATGTACCCAAGTATCTTAGTGAATAAATAATAGCATTCAAAGATCGACCCACTAAGGAACGGTCAAGATATAAGTACATATATTATTTGTCTTGGTGGTTCTTTACGTCTTCTAATGTCGTAGTGGCCCAGAGGTTTAAAACGCCTGCTTCTCATGAGGTCATGCGGTTTCAAAACCTACCAACGGCAAATACCAATGTGACTTTTTCCGAGTTATATGTACTTTCTAAGATTATTTTGATACTACTGACAAATAGTGAAGGAAACGTCGTTAGGAAACCTGGGCTTATAATTTCTAATTATAAGTTTGAAATCGCCAACTCACATTGAGTAAGCGTGGTGATTAATGCTCAAACCTTCTGTGTGAGAAGAGACTTTGCACAGCAGTGGGTATTTATAGGCTGTTGGTGAGAATGGAAAACCATATTAGGTATATGGGATTGATGTAAATTTTGACACTTGTCAGTCATCCCCATACATTTAGTTTTCTACTCTCTTTTCTACGCTAAGTGGCATTTGGCTACAGCTGCAGTATATTCCAATCTGTCATCACGACACGACTTTACGTTGTATATGATAAATTAATTACAAACATTAATCAATTATTCACTTATCTAAATAATTCAGTGATACAGAGTGACAAATTTGCATGTGAATTTAGTCAATTCTCTATATATTACACATACACATACATATCTATATATATATATTCATATATACGGCATCACAAGTTCTCGCTTCAGGAATCATGAATTATTTAATCGCCCATTTGATCGTACATTAGCGCGTTCTGAGTTACCCGGAGCGAATATTGCTATGAAATGAACCTACGATATGTATTGTAGTGGTATAACGTTTAACAATTGAGCTGCTGAAGTCTCTATTCATACTATATTTATTTATTTATTTAGAAAATTTACATCTTTATATGTATCTATAGTATATAGTGGACAAAGCATGCAGAAATTATCTAACTCTAACCTAGCGAATGTTGTAAAAACAGACTACGGAGATACTAACATAACATCACGCCTTTTATCCCTGAAGTAAATACATACATACATTCAAACTGACAGCCTCCTTCTTTTTTGAAGTTGGTTAAATTCAAATTCAAATTCAAAATTTTTATTTCAGATAAAACATACATATTTATGTTAGTAGTAGTACAACTTAGCCTAATGTTAGTAGTAGTGGTAGTTAAAAACTCTCAATAGAGATAAAGTATACATCAACATAACATCACGCCTTTTATCCCCGAAGGGGTAGGCAGAGGTGCACATTGCCACTGTGCAATGTAACATCCACTTTTCACTATTTATGTAACAAATCCCATGTAATAGGGGGTGATCCTATTGCCATATACCGGGCACATTTCCAGACTCCGTGTTACTACTGAGAATTTTTTTTTGCAGTCAGAGAGCAGATGAAGAATAAACAATGGTAATTTGGTAACACAAAGGATTAATAATAAGTTAACAAATATTTCATGTTTAGTTTGCAAATAAATGCAATGAGTTCAACGTTATTGAATAAATTACGTACTTAAGTTTATTAGCTACACATAAATGCTTAAATAAAGAAGTAACAAGGTTATATTATTGATAAAAAATGAAGTATGTAAATTGGTAATCTATTTCGTAAATCTGTACGCGTCACGCGAGAATTCTCATGCTATATTGAAAGTTATTGCGATTTTGATAGTTCACAATATGAATTAACATAACACAACATCACGCCTTTTATCCCCGAAGGGGCAGGCAGAGGTCACACAGACGCGAGACCCACTTTTCACTATTTATGTTATGAGTCCCATGTAATAGGAAGTGAGCCAATTGCCATATACCGGGCACATTTCCAGATTCCGTGCTACTACTGAGATTTTTTTTAAACCCTTTGAAATACTTTGGCCGACCTGGGGATCGAACTCGAGACCCCTTGCAATGAAAATATATACATATATATAGGTTAAGCATTGCCATTCAACGTGGCGATGCTGCCAGTCTTTTGGGCACCTTACCTCACGGTAGCGATGAGGAAAATGTTTTCTTTGATGCCTTATGATATATAGAGGTATATTTTTTAAGGTGTAAATGATTTAGTTTTCAATTATTTTTTATATTTTAAGTTGTATATATTAATAGTCGCAAAGTAGTTTTATTTTCCAATAATAAAATGATTAGGTATATTTTAAATATATACAACTTAAAATATGAATAACTATGAACTAAAATTTTTACCCTTTAAAAAAATGCTATTTTAAGGCATCAAAAAAAATTATTTTCCTCATTGTTATCGTGAGGTACGATGCCCAAAAGACTGGCAGCATTACCACGTTGAATGGCAATGCTTAACCTTTGTCCAAGGTAGCAGCCAGCCCTTCGATCACAATCAAATCTTCGAAAAGCTATAACCCAAAATTACTTAACGGATGCATACAGATATGTAGATATAGTCAACTTCAGAATCAAACCCGACAGTTACGCTTACGGCTAGTCTCCAACATCAGTATTTTAGAAAGGGCGACTGCCGTCACTTGGTTCTTGGAACCCAAGCTTTACCTAAATGCTCTGCGATGTGTGAAAGAGTTATGTTATTATTCTCATTCTAATATGAAGCAAACCCTGCCATGGGAACAAAACAATTTCGAGGTATTTTAGATAATTTTGAAAACGAATAGACAAAATTTACCAGCTGGACAGATATTTGGATATTATGCAATAGATACATACTTTAATGCTGTATTGTAAGTATGGAGTGTTATACGTTATTTCCTTTGAGGTACTGTACACGAAAGCATGCTTCAATTGGGATGATGCCAGGGTATGAAAATTAAAAATCTAGTCCGTAAGTTAGGTAATGAAAAAACATTATACACGTACCTATTTTTTATTTTGTCGTGTAATAAAACAATACTTAGATAAAACGAATCAAAGTTTAAGAGTATGGGTTAAAACGTCATTTCTACGATTAACCTTACGGTGGTCGCGCTCCTAAAAGTTTCGTGAGTGGTCGTATGGACTACATACGTAATCCATATACAAATTGAAAAAAACAAAAGATTTATTCATAAAACATTTATTTATTAAATGAAAATATAATCAGTACCGTTTTCTTAATTAAATATTAAAATCACAACTTAATCACAACCTCTGTGTTACAAATAATCAACAATATCAAAAATTATCTCCAACATGGCACAAAAATCACATGGATTGTTCTTATTGAGATCACAATTTATAAAAACGGTAAAAACTAATATCTAAATGTTATTTTCTGCACAGGATAGACACATAATCTTCAAATGATCCCCACATACAAACTTCCTGCACTTGGTCCACACCTTTTTAGTGCTTTTACTGCGCGCTCTTCCACAGTCATGGCAACGGCGCATAACATTGCTCGATGTTCCTTCTGAGGTATTGGGTTAAGTTTCAGCATACGTTATTACGTATGCTGAAACTTAACCCAATTGGTATTCCAAGAAAATCTTTTATTCTGATTGTTAGAGTTCTTGGTAACGATTTATTTTCAAGTCTCTTCTGTGCTAGTAGCTTCATCAATGCCAGAGACAAGTCAATTAGGAACTCACGTCGGCTCACAGGTTCATAATTCCTGTTTGCTGTGTAAATACACAATGCATTGAATGCACTCAAATTCAGCAAGCGGAAAAAAATTGTAAGAGACCATCTTCTTGAGTTTCTCGCTACATCATACATGGAACACATTTTAGCCACCAGGTCAACTCCATTCTTAGTCCTTTTATATGCCCACAATGTATCATCTACTCCTTTATAAAAGTCAGTGCGCCGGCGGCGTTGCTGAGGTAGATCATCTTCAGAGCTTTCGTCAGATCTCTCACCCGGTATGACTTGCTCTTGCTCGGATTCCGATTGATGGACTTCTTCTTCTAAGTTGTCAACTTCTTCATCAGACATTCCGACATCAACTTCAGCCAGCCACGACTCAATTAGTGCATCACGTGCATTGTCCATTTTTTTCTAAAAACAAACGTTATAATATAACGTAACGTATATATTATATTATTACAGCAACATAACAAAGCAAAATAAGGTATTTTTTATCTAAAATAAACGAAAACGTAATAAATAAATGTAAAAAAAAACTTACGTGATTGGTCGCGCGGATTACACCTGTAGTCCACACTCTTTACTGAGCTCCTGTGACACAACCGCGCGAGTCCTCCGCTTGCGCTGCACCGAGCGCGTCGCACAATTATTCATTTGAAAGTACCTAGAGGCGCCACAAGTTAGAGCTAATCGTTTGTTGGAAATGATCGATTTTGTATAGGTGGATTACATGTGTAGTCCACGCGACCACTCCAGGGTTAAAATGAACATAGAAGTGACGTCACGCGACATTTCAAATCAATATATCGTCGAAAGTATTCGTTTCTGTAAGAACATAAAAAATACGTGTCTAATGATTTAAAATAATCTACCAGATGGACATTAAAATAAAAATTAGGCATCTACCCTATTGAGCATGAGAAGTTGTCACTTAGTAGGTAACTTGTGTTGGAATGTTGATAAAATTAGTGTGCTGATTGCAGACATAGGTATTTGCGAATCGCCAGGCATTCAATTTTTGAACATTTTTGAGCATAGCTCAAAAGAACGCCTTTTATGTCGGAATACTGAAACGCTACTCAATTTTAAGTCGTACTTAAGTATAGTTCTATCTCTACAAATTCTTTGTAAAATGACAGAGATGGCACGATATTTGAGCACGACTTAAAATTTAGTAACGTTTCAGTATTCATATGCATGCTATTTTAGAGCATATGTAACAGTACCTTTACTTTGGAATGAGTACTCAACTGATATATGAATCATTAAATAAAAATTTCAAATATGCTGAAATATTTTAACAACATACTCAGGCTCAAATTTTAACCTACATTCCGTTGCCTTGCTGTCCTGAGACCTATCTACGTAAGTACAACTCACAGACTAACATTTTTTTTGAAACGTTGCCCTACACTTGAGTTCTCTCCTGTGTTGTGGGTGCGTTTACAAACACACAATGTCATATACACATGACACCCAGACCCAAAACAACAATTTGTGGATCACACAAATAGTTGTTTCGTGCGGGAATCGAAGCCGCTACCCGAATACCGTACAGTTAACTTAACAATATGACCGAATAATAAACCACATCAAAAACCGACTCTTATGATCTAAGCAGCTCATGAGAGACTCATAATTGTATCAAGTGTCCAGTAATACGGCACTGGAGATAAACTAATGGCCATGATCCACGGACAGAGGGCGCTAATGATCCCATCATGGCATTATGAACGTACTCTACTCACTAAGTTTATCATTTCATGGAAGCAAATGGCACGTTCATTTTGAGTAACAGAATTAGTTACCGTGTCCTGTATAGCTTAGATACTTTAATACAGAGAGTATTTTTTAAGGAATATCATGTTTTGTAGTCAACGGCACTATGGATTTTTTTTTAAAGGGGGAAAATCATCGAATGTCTTCTCCCGCCTGGGTGAGGCGGGAGGGAGTGTCAGACTCTTACTGACTAAAACCACCCCGGTCCTTCTCCTGCACTTCGAGCCGGAGCCCCGGTTACCCGTTAGGTTCTCCGCGACTCCGAATCGGCATCGGCCCTGCTGGGCCCCATCTGTGGTGCTCTGATGGCTCTTTGAGGCGCGCGCGGAACGCGACGCGTCGTACGCTCGGGTCTGTTTCTGGTCGGACGGGGAGCCACCCAGTAACGGCACTATGGATAGTGTTATCTTGACTTCAACCACCCATGACAGTCCACCAACTGCTAGAATATTCCTCTTCAATAAAATGCATGAGACAGAAAATAAAAACAAAAGTACAGGAATAATTTTTGAAAACAAAGGCAGTAAGATACCTAATTCGAACCACAGAGGGATTCTTCCTCATGAGCAGGGTGTGCGGTCGCGGTAGTATGTCTCACGATTGTTATTATAAAAAGTAAATGTTTCAACCAAACCGGATTTGACTAGATCGAAGCGGTTGAAACTAGAGTTTACTGGATTTCTTAATACTGTATGTTCTTTTAATTTCAGAAAGTTGAGTTATAGTTTTGTCAACAGCTGTTGCATACTTTACGTTTTTAGTATTTTTTGATACGCATATAAAACAATTAAGGTTAATATGAAATTATCGACATTTAATTTATAGGCTAGTTAGGTTAGTGCTAGTGGCACTGAAATAACGTGTTTCAATAACATTCCTAATTAATGCAATCAAACATAATTTTGTCGTTTAGTATTGTTCATCTACTAATTAGCTTGTTAATTACATTATTTAGTAAGTTGCAACAATTTATAATTAGGTAACACGATTCGCTACTGACATGATACATTTTCCTGTAATAAAACATAATTATTTCATTTTAACTGAAAAGTTACGGTTCATTTCAAATTAAAATACAAACCTGGACCTATAACTGTATATCGTCGTAAGTACATTTAAAAATTTGAACTGGAAATCCATAAAATATCGTAAAACGATATTCTACTTAAAATGTTTCACTGACGGTTTGCATAAACAAAACGAATGGAATTTAAAATTCCAGCGGAATCCGGTTACGTATGGTTATGACCGGTTACCGCTGGATATATCCGGATATTTTAATACCAATGTTATGTTAATCTAGTTAGTGGAACATGGACGGCTTACTTTATTATTTTTTGATAGTTGCAATTTATCACAGTGGCTGAAAAAAATATTTTCATTTCTTTTACCGAATTTATTTATTTTAAAAATCTATATAAACGGTAGTTTACTTAAAAATAAGTTTTAAATTATTGTTCTAGAATTCGCCAGCTATTTTAAGAGTCGTATATATGATGTACATATGTACGTTTAATATATCTTGTTTTACGATTTTTCGTGTAGTATTAGGCCTAATTCCGGACTCCATAATACCATGAATTCAAGAAATTAATAAATTTCATAACACTAACTACCCCTTGCTCAGCAGTCTTTCTTGCAATCAACTAGCAAGCACAGTATTCATAAAATAACATCTTATACACCTTTTAAAAGTCTACAACAGAAACCTAATAGATTCCACCTTACATAACAAACAACGAGGTTATATACAAAAAAAATATCGTATGTAAATGTAGGTACGTATTTATACAGCAATATGAAAAATTAATTGTTCTGTAATTATTTAATTATACCCTAGTTCAGTGGCACACAAAATATTTCATGAAGATCGGAATAACTTTCACGCTTCGTCGACCAACACTTGATTTCCAACTACGTGAATTATAACACTGTGTCTTTAAAAATAGGGTGTAATTTCAATTGTCGATAACACAGTGTTTCTGTTTAGTGTATATTTTTCAAGTTCTTATAAAGGTATGCATTGCAATGAACCGCTGTATTTTATTTGTCTAATGATTAATTGTTTTAAGAAATTTATTGTTAAAAAATAGGTGGTTATCGTTTTAATAACTTTATTATCTAGGTTATTTTTCGAAGCATTATACAGACGAACATTTACCTAATATTAATTATATTTTGGGCCACATTAGAAAATCAATGCCACAGTTTGTTTCCTGAAGGGTATATATAACCTAGGTGTCTTCAAGGTTCGAATGAATAGTTTGCGCCCATAAGCAAACACTGGGCGTGTGCTCCATCTTAGACTGCATCGCATACCAGGGAACATGGTGCCCATTATAGATAAGATTACTGTAGAAAGCCGACTGCAGATACCATATTAACATAACATAACATCACGCCTTTTTATCCCCGAAGGGGTAGGCAAAGGTGCACATTTCGGCACTTAATGCTACTGTACAATGTATTACTGGGTTTTTAAAAATCTCAGTAGTAGCACGGAGTCTGGAAATGTGCCCAGTATATACCTCTAGCAATAGGCTCACCCCCTATTACATGGGACTCATACCATATTATTTTTAAAATAACCCTATTACACCACAACTTTATGAAATAGAAGTCATCATGTCTGCTATGTAGCTAATAAAACATAATTGAAATTGCTCATAAGTATTCAGACATAATAGATTTCAACCATTAGATAAGCCCACTTAAAGTGCATAATTACACGTATTACAATATAATTATAGAAAACGATTAATTTAAAATTAATTAAAGAGGTGTGAACACAATGTAATTGCATGTAATCCAATTATATTGTATACTTTATATCCTTTAATTATAGTCGATAATCTCTTAACTATTTAATCATTTAAACTATTTGCACAACTTGAATCATCATCCCCTCAACAGACTATAAATGGCCACTGCTGACCAAAGGCGTGTTCTTACACGGAGAAGCAGGGCGTTATCACCACGCTTGCTCAATGCGGGTTGGCGATTTTAAACTAATAATTAGAAATTATAAGCCCATGTTCCCTCACGATGTTTTCCTTCAGCGGTGTTTAAATAATCTTAGAAAGTACATATAACTCGGAAAAAGTCACATTGGTACTTGCCTTTGATAGGTTTTGAAACCGTGCCCTTGTGCATGAGAAGCGGGCCGCTGAACCATGCCACTATTACAATTTTGATTTTGATTAAATTTAAGAATTTTTTTTCACATAAACCCGTATTATTTTTAGACTTTTACAGTTTCAAGGGCATGGATGTCGGCATCGTCATCCTAGCTATTTGCCCAAACTAAGAGTAAGGGAAATGCTCTCCCAACAGTAATGCGTCACGCAATCCTAAAGGCAGAAGACGGTCATAATTAGTTCCTTTCCTAAGTATCTGAGTCAGCAGTGGGCATTTATAGGCTGTTGATGAAAATAGTATCTGTAAAATTAAAAGAATTAAAAGGCAAAACTATCAAAAGTTAGACATACTCGTCGAAATAACATTAATTTTGTCTTATCTATTAAACTTACAAAGCAATTCCTAAAACAAGTACTTTCTCCATTTTCTAAGATTTAATTCACAAGTTGCCAACAGATATAGTTTCATAAGATAATGCAGTAACCGCCCAAGTTACTGCGAAGTGAAATTATTTAATGTGGAAAGTCGTTAGGGGGCGTCCGAGTAGTTTGAATGCAAGGAACATTGGCGACCTGCCAGAAAACTATTACTATAAAAGACATGAAGCTAGTAATTAAAGTGTTCAACTATTTTATGCTGATTATTGTAGACAAGAAGATATTAAAAATGTCTTTGTTTGTATCTAGCAGTCTCTAGAGTCACTGTCATCAAGAGCGAAGTCTTGAGTACAAAAGTTACGGCTCTGGGTACGTACCCGACTGCATTTCTTAATTTCAACCCAGTAATATTGCCATTGTATGGGGTTTTTCTGTGGGATAAGCCTGTAAACGAGCAGACGGATCACCTGATGGCAATAAGCAATCGGCGCCGCCCATAGACATCTGAAGCACTAGATGCGGAATTTGGGGATTGTGAGGGTTTCGGGGATTGGGGAGACTAGGGAGGGGGAGTAATTAAGCCTCCGGTAACCTCACTCACATGACGAAATACAACGAAAAGCATTGTTTCACGTCGGTTTTCTGCGAGGACGTGGTATCTCTCCGGTCGAGCCGACTCATTCGTGCCAAAACATGGCTCTCCCACACTTAAATGTATGACAAATTCATATTCATGAGCAGCATTGCGCGAGACAGGTCACGCAGCTACGAATATGAGCCTCCGGCGTGGCGTGAAACTAGTCGAATTCCTTGTGAAATAAATACCCTAGTAACAATAATGCAGCTCAAAAATCATCCAATATAAAAAACTGTTGTACAAAATAGTTATCAAATCGATTTACAACACTAAACTAACCTTTTCTCACTCCTTAACAAATCTAGCACAACTAAAGAAAATCCACAAAGGGTGTATATAACTGTTTGCTGCAAAAGCCCCTCGGGCTAACTATCTAAATGTCAAAGTGATGGAGCGATCGTCTTCGTGCGAAGTACTTCGATTCCCACTCGAGAACAAATATTAGCAGTGCCTACAGGTATTTGTTGAGAGGCCCCGTGTTGGTTTAGTGCAGGCTTGTGTAATGCCTTCGATACATGCCGCCCTGGTACCGCGGTGTGGGCTGCCCACTGTTTGCATAGTCTGTTTGATAGAAATAGAAATGGTTTAGAAGCCACATTTGTGCAATGCAAATAAGATACTATAAATGCTTAGTTAGCCTGTAATTGGTTACATTACGTGAGTTACACATTACATTTTTAAAATATGACGGAGCCCTAATTAATATCTACGCAAAGGAGATAGCAGACCATGAAAATTCTGTATCTAGACGTAAAAGCAAAAATATACATGAAATATACAAAATAATAGAATAAGACCATTCAATCGATTCTAATCTGAATTTTTACAACATTTATTTCAAAGATTGACACTAGACAATCCATTGACACCAAGGCCCACAGCTACCCTAATCAATAAAAGTCAAAAGATAATCTCAGTATTGCTCTTCTTAGCTGACGACTCAATAGAACCGAGCACCTCAATCAACCTCGAATAATTTATTCTTACTTTGTAACCAAATTCATGAATCTATAGGAAGGCGCATCCGTAGGCCAAACGAATTTTCGGTAAAGGATAAAGGATAATGAATTCACCGTTCCCAATCGGACAAGGATGCCCAATGCTAATATCTGACGAAACGCAACGAGTGCGTGCATAGACAGGCTGTATCCGGCCGTGTTTCAGCGGATACTCGAACACTGGTATAAAATGGTTGAACACTGTACCAAAGGCAACATTTCGTCTGAGGTAACCACCCACGATGAACACCCTCGTAGCTGTAAGTTAATCGTTCATATTTGTCACATAATCTGTGTTATCTGTAATTTATTGTTGTTTTCCATTGGTTGATGTTATTTATCTGACTTTTTTGCGCCAGCTTAAGATATACATGTGAATAAGGTTAAAGTCAAGATTATATAAAATAGTGTCCTTAAAATGATTGTTAGTTAACATTGGGAATTTATTGGATTGGATAATTGGTACTGGTTGCATTAAGTTCAATTAGACGCGCGTGCATTCAGATTTGTAATCGGTAATTAATGTGTTATAGATTCCTAATGAGTTAGTTATTTAATAAAATAATCATAAACACCAAATTATAGTATTTTTATTTATTACCAGTCTCGGGAATGAAATAATAATGATTACATTTTGTAATTATTGCTACTGAATTGTAATGAATTATAATTTGAATGGAGACTTGTGTAACCTATATCATCACCATCAGTTCTGTATCTAATAGAAAGCACTATTTTATTTTAAACAATTGACATTTTAATTTCGTTTAAACAATGTTGAGCTAAGAATTTTATATTAATATTGTTTTTATGGTTTGTAGTTGGCTTGTCTCCTGGCCGTCGCCCATGGCAGCGCCATTGGCGGATATGGTAAGTAACGCAATTTTTATACAAATTAGACCCAAAAAACTATATGTTTAAAGGCTGAAGTCTCAAAATTAATTCAGAACCTGGTGCTGGATGATTATCATTCATCCTTTATATAAAAATAAGAATCACCTTGATCATCGTCCGTTCATTGGGGATACAAAACATTTCTATTGAATTATCTTCACTTCCAGGTCTTGGATATGGATATGGCGCTCCAATCATCGCTCCTGCAGCGATATCCACCGCAAACGTCGTGAAGGCTGCTCCCATCCCCGTCATCAGGACCGCCGCCGTCGCTCCCATCGTCACCGCTCCCGTCCTCCGCACCGTCAGCGTTGCAGCTCCCGTCAACTACGGTTACGGAGGCTGGGGAGGTTGGGGCGGCTACGGACTCGGAGGCTGGGGCGGTTACGGACTCGGAGGCTGGGGCGGCTACGGACTCGGAGGCTGGGGCGGTCACGGCGGATGGGGCGGCCACGGTGGATGGGGTGGTTGGGGCGCCGGTTACGGCAAACACTACGGCTAAACCTGACGTCTTAACTAGACGAAGTTGTAGTCTCTCTCCCAAAATTACCTCTTCTAGAATTGGCCTTGCACATTAATAAAGCATTCACTACTTAACGCTGTCGTTTTCATTATTATCTTTACGTTAAGTTTCTACTAATTGACGGATCCTTATTATGAGTAACTAGATAATATATCCGAGCCATCACATAACTTTCATTAAGTGCAAACAGCTGTTATAATCTACAGATAATAATATAAAGTAATTTACTCTAACACAAATCTCTATCAAACACTAAGTCAACTTGTAACTCCACATAACTCCACAACTCCCAACGGAACTGCTAATTCCTATACAAATCAATACCTAATTGAACTTCAAAGTCATAACTAATCACTTCAAAGTCATCGTTAATTGCACTTGAAAATTGCAAGCAATTTACAACCGTGGGAGCTATTAAAGTTTGGAAGATATTAGATGGAACTTAGTCACTTGGCGCAAATTTGTCGCGAGCTGTACTGTGAACCTCTGGAGTTTAGACAGCCTCGTGGGTTCTTGAGAATTTATGAAGCAAGTGAGAGTAAGAGTATTAATCTGTTTCATGAGTTACGCTGTTCTTTTCTGCGAAAGAGAAAAAAACAGGGCCAAGTCCTTTGTTAATCTTTTGTAATGAAGCATCTTCTAAACTATTACAGATCAAAGCTTAGCAGCCACCTGCTGCACCTGCTGCTTGACAAGTTTGTAGTGCCACCATTACAAACCTGCCAAATTGGGTATTGTAGTAAACCTATTCTTAAGAGAGAAGCACTGAAAATAAAGATGACAATAATGATAAATACTAATGACAAGTAAACTTCATACTCTTGAACAACTTTCAAGTCTATGAAGTTATAGGATTCATATAATGACGTTTCAGTAATAACTGCACTGTTGGTGCGGTGGCTGGGCAACCGGCTGCCGTGCAACGTGTCGCGGGTTCGATTCCCGCACGGAACAACACTTTGTGTGATCCACAAATTTTTGTTTCGGGTCTGGGTGTGATGCGTTTGTGTAATTGTATGTTTGTAAACGCACCCACGACACAGGAGAAAATTCTAGAGTGAGGCAAAGTTTAAAAAAAAAAACAAAACTCGAGTACGAATAAATGCGAATAGGTACACTAACAATATGGGTAAACTATTATCAAAACATAGCCTTCTCAATTTACTCTAATGTTGCCGAGATAGAAAACAAAAATACTAACAAATAGCTCAACGATTTCATGATAAAAAACGAGCTGTTACACAATCCGTACACTGCTAACAGTGACAGTAAGGAACAAGTCCGTCGCGACTCACTCGCAAATGGTATTATGGACGTCTGAGTGTCGGCGGTGCAGGACTTTATGTCGAGTAGACAACGGACAGATATGGCGGTAGGCACAAAATTTGACGAAATACTTAATGCCACTGTACAATGTAACATCAATTTTTCACTATTTATGTTATGAGTCCCATGTAATAGGGGTGAGCCTATTGCCATATACCGGGCATATTTCCAAACTCCGTGCTACTACTGAATTTAAAAAAAAAACCAGTAATACTTTGCCTGACCCGGGAATTGAACCTGAGACCCCTTCGCACTTGCGCCCACTCTGCCAACAAGGCAGTATGAGTTTCGAAAAATTGTTGGATTCTTTTATAAATTATAACTAGTTACTTTTTATGCGAGTACACTTACAGCCGAAATTAATGGCATACCTCTATCCAAAATCTGTGGGCACGGATCGATTTTTGTCAGAAACTATGGAGTCTCTGCCGTATGGACAACTAATGTTAAAAATTGATCCATATCCACAATCAAAAATATTCATTGCAAACTGTCGTATCTACACATTTATTCTTTGGACAGTCCATTACGCCTTCACGAATAGGATCCCAAGAGACCTTCCGTCGGCGTTAATTGAAAAAGCAATTAAAACCGCCCCCCTCCCCCCAGGAGCTCCCAAACATCGGCAACTATCCGTGAGATATTTGCCAATCATATTCACTCACTTTAAAATGAGATTCCAGAACTTCACCTGAAGATTTTCTTTGAGAATTTTAAGTATTATGAACTTTTTAAACTTTGATTTAATTGGTTTTAAACTGGATTGTGGGTTGAATGTAGAGTTTTATTTAAATTGAAATTAAATAAGATTTTAAATAATAATACTAATTTCTAAATTCTCTACTGCGTCATTATTTTGCGCGTAAATCAGTACATAGTATAAAACAAAGTCGCTACCTGCCGTCTCTCTGTCCCTATGTATGCTTAGATCTTTAAAACTACGCGACGGATTTAGATGCGGTTTTTTTTATATATAATACATACATATTGCACTTGTGCGAAGCCGGGACGGGTCGCTAGTTAATAATAATATAAACGTATTGCGAGTTCGAGGAATCAATTTCAGTTGAAACCTATTGAAGGAATTTTACAAATTGAAATTATGATCAAATCCTTAATATAATGTAAGCCTCCCACATTTTATTTACCTCATCAATACAAAACCCGTAATCAAATTTTATAATTACAACGAAATAAATTTCGAGTCCCACGTTGGGCGCCAATAATTAATTCGCCATTTTGTGATCATAACAGCAGCGTGAAAGCAAAGAATAACACAATTAACATTTAGTAGCAACATTGTTAAATTTCGGTGGCACATACATAATTAATTTTACTTTCAATATTTATTTTCTGCAGCATTTCGTTGCTGAGTCCCTAATTAATTTGTTTTCCCTATATTTTCCCATTTTAGATTTAAACACGAATGTAATAACTATGCAAATATTGTTGCAACAGGTTAATTAATATGGCCACACAAACTATTTGATCCTTTAATACAAATGTGCTATGTTTTAGTCCGGTCCAATTTAATGTTTATAGTACAGTCAAAATAACTTTATTTTTGATTAAGGAAAGTACCCAATTTTTGTTTCAATGCGTGTTTGTTCATCAGTAGCATGAAGATACGTTCGTACGCTCGTTCATACGTTCGCATGTTCGTACTTAAGCACACTTTCGTCGAATTTATCTCTCTTAAGTGCCATTGCAATGAATGCCAACATATTACTAAGTCCATCGCAGAATGCATTCATAAATAAACTTTACTTTTATAATAGTAGGGGAGCCCATGAAGGGATTTCGGTAGTTACTCGAGCACGTCAGATTACCATATGGGGAAAACCTAGTGTCATGTTAAATATACCCACCATATATCCGATCTGATTAGAAGGGGGGGACGAAAAATTAAAAATAAAGTTTGACTAAATAAAGTCAGTTTCGTCAGATTAAGGGAAGGTAGGTCAATACCATGCTAAAGGAAGTGCGTTTGAAAAATCTGCCCATTCCAACTTGATTTGCAAGAGTGGGGGGATTTTGAAGGGTTCTCGTTTGTACTCTCCAGAACATTCAACCCCATCATGCAAACTGGCAGATTAAGAGTTTTTTATTATTAAATACACATGGAGCATGTCCACTATCAATATCTGACACGCTCGACCACTAGAACAAAAGTTACGCTTAACAATTTCAAAGATCTGTGGATTCCCCCTTCCCCCACCGGTGGAAGAAATTGTCACTAAACCATTTCTTCTTTCTATCAGCATATCTTCAAAATCCAGTAGGTTCCAACGACGCTCAAGTAAATCCAAATTTAGCATCGTGGGCTCCCCTACTATAATGTTACATCTTGTTAGTAAAAGTACTAATGTCTCCATAACAACACTGTTCAAAATATCTTTGTTACAAATAACAAAATAGAAAATCAAAAACGTTAAAAATAAATCGTATTTGTAACAACAGTGGCTATCATCAATCACAAAGTTGGCAAGTTTAAGGTGCGCGCCCCAATTGTTCGAGCCAGTGACAAATTGCAGCAGATTGCTATCGACACTCCGAAGGTAAGTTAATTACTTATAGATACAAATATTAGATATTCGAGGACTGACAGTGTTCTGTTTTAATAATGCATTCTTTAAGTTGCTTATTGGAAGATGTATGGAGATACTCTTAGAGGTATAGGTATTCATTTTTTAATATCCAACTTTGGAGATTATTGTGTTAAATTACTGCCTCGATGGCCGAGTGGTGGCAAGTGCGACTACCGGGCAAGGGGTCTCGGGTTCGATTCCCGGGTCGGGCAAAGTATTACTGGGTTTTTTAAAAAAATCTCAGTTGTAGCACGGAGTCTAGAAATGGGCCCGGTATATGGCAAAAGGCTCACCCTCTATTACATGGGACTCATAACATAAATAGTGTAAAGTGTGGTGTTACTTCGGTGTGCACCTTTACCTACCCCTTCGGGGATAAAAGGCGTGACGTTATGTTGTGTATGTTTTAAATTATTTTCAAAGCTAATAATCTTTACGAAAGTTTTGAATAGTAGATACCTTTCACTCTACAGATCTTAAATCGATTGCCATGGTGGAGAAAAACACATTCGCAACCACTAAAACACCACAACAATGAGAAAACAACGCGAAACCATTTAACATATTCAAACCGAGTACCATAAACCCGTACAGAAAGAAAACACTCAGCTCAAAAATATAATTCGAGCATTAAAAAAATAAGATGCGTCACGCCCCAAATGGCGGGAAGTAGGCGTCGAGTCGAGAGCCCATGAACGGTAAACGTGGAACCACGACTCCACGAGGATAATTGTACTTCCCACCTCACTCGAAATTCAACTTTAAAAATGTTTCACAGCCGAAAGCTGAATGGATTTTCGTGGCGCGAAAAGGAGGTGAAAGATCTAATTTTCGTGTTACATGTTTTCGTTGCTTTGCTTTTCAATCGCACACTGTGAACATTGGGTAGACAGTACAATACAGCGAGTGCACTTCTACTTAATACATGGGATTTTTTTAAGGGGGAAATAATCTTTTTGCTTTTTTTTAAGGGGGGAAAATCATCGAATGACTGCTCCCGCCTAGGTGAGGCGGGAGGGAGTGTCAGACTCTTACTGACTAAAAACCACCCCGTTCCTTCTCCTG